ACCATTAACATGTTTAATAATTGTCATATTTGTCCTTTTTAGGAATATTTGGAGCAGTCACTTACATCCGGATCAGGATCTGGATTGCCATTACTTATTCAAAGAACATTGGCAAGACAAATATCATTAGCAGAATGTATTGGAAAGGGCCGGTATGGTGAAGTATGGAGGGGTATTTGGCATGGTGAAAATGTTGCAGTAAAAATATTTTTTTCTCGAGATGAAGCATCATGGAGTAGAGAGACTGAAATTTACAGGTGAGTAGCCCTGTTAATGGAATTATTACTTGTATAGATGGATATGAATATGTAAAATAAGTGGATTTTATTTTTATCACTTTTAAATTGAATTTGCCAAACAAATGAAACTGAGATAGTATTGTGTATGTGGTTTATGGTAATTTGTATTTATGAAAGTTGTTTCTGTATATATACTATACTTTTTAACAATGATGATTATAATTTTTGTTTAGTTATATGCGTCGATCATTTTCATTGCTCCATAATGATGATAATAAATTAGTTACAGCTTATAATTTAATATATGATTTGTTACTTATTTGTACAGAGCTGATTGGCATAAATAAATAAACAAATTTCCATTTGTTTGTAATATTAGTGCGCATTCATTAATTTTTATGTGCATGTTCCAGCACTATTCTTCTACGTCATGAAAGTATCCTGGGTTATATCGGTTCTGACATGACATCCCGCAATTCGTGTACTCAGCTGTGGCTTATAACACATTATCACCCATTAGGATCTCTTTATGATCATTTAAATCGAACTACTTTGACACATCACCAAATGATGAAAATATGCCTTTCTGCTGTGAGTGGCTTGGTACATTTACATACAGAAATATTTGGTGCTCAGGTAAGACTATTGAATGTGTGAAAGTGCTCGAGAGAGGACAGAATTACTGCCTGCTAAGTGATAAAAAAGGTATGTGTTATTATGTCTGATATGCACCTTTTTGTCTAGGGCAAACCTGCAATTGCTCATAGAGACATAAAAAGCAAAAATATTTTAATGAAGGTGAATGGTGCTTGTGTAATAGCAGATTTTGGTCTTGCTGTCACCCATATTCACTCAACAGGAGAAACTGATATAGGTGCTAATCCACGTGTGGGGACTAAAAGATATATGAGCCCAGAGGTTTTAGATGAAACGTGAGTACTCAATAATTTGCAATAATTTTAATGCTGATATGTATGTTTTAGTGTTAGCATAAAATACTTACTAATCTTTTTATTTTGTTGTGTTACGCTGTGTCACATTTAAATTTTTACAATATATGTGAACACCTAATCATTTCCAACACTGCTGCTCAGAAATTTGAATTAATTCTTGTAGTAGTTTCTTTTGAAGGTGAACAAAATAGTGTTTTTATTGTGTTTCAGGAAACATATAAAGGATGTTATGTTTCAGATTCTCTTCATTCACATAGATACAAATTAGGGTCTTGACAGTGTCTTCAGTCAACTGAATTCATGTTTGATTTATCTGAATTTCAGAATCAATATGGATTGTTTTGAATCGTATCGTCAAATTGACATTTATGCATTTGGCCTTGTATTATGGGAAGTATGCCGGAGGACGTTATCCAGTGGGATTGCAGAAGAATACAAGCCTCCTTTTTATGATCTTGTGCCAAATGATCCTAGCTTTGAGGACATGAGGAAAGTAGTGTGTGTAGACCAGCAGCGACCAAATGTACCTAATAGATGGGCATCAGATACGGTAAGTGTTTGGACTCTTTAAAAGCATAAAATAAAACTCTGTTCCGTACTGACATAAGCATAAAATAAAACTGTATGTTCATTAGGTACTGACATTCACTGTAATTTATTTTCAGACATTGAGTGGTATGGCAAAACTTATGAAGGAATGTTGGCATCAAAATCCTAAAGTTCGACTACCAGCGTTGAGAGTTAAAAAAACTCTTATAAAATTAGCATCTTCCGACATATCCATCCATCTTGATCTTGATATGTGATCCTTTAAGATCTGTGTATTGTGTGGAAAGATTTGCATATTACGTAGAATTTTTTGGAGACTATTTTCTAGTGCAGTGAAAAGTGTTAAAGTTTGCGTGCTCCGCAAGTTACTTTATTTTGAGAGACGGGAGTGTGCATCTTTGTTTTTGTTGGAAGTCATTGTACCTTTTTTAAATATGTATGCAAGAATTATTCACATATATGTAAACATTTTTTATAAAGGAAGAAAAATGCAGTGCCATGATACATAACAAGATATGTGAACTGCCGCCTGTGCAGCATCCTCGTATAAGAGGTATGTTAGTGTAGTACAATGGAAGACTGAAGTTTGAGTTACACGCTGTTGGTTCTTTTTATAGAAGCTCTTTGTGTGATGTGAATGGTATTGTTAGGTATCCACCATCTTGTTGGAAAATACTGTTGTCATATTTTGAAACTTATTTCGTGTTAATGGCCATATTAAATTGTGATTGCGACAGGTAGGATCTTTCTCATATGAAAATTTGTAAATATTTTTTGTAGAAGTGGCAAGAAAAGATTGGTATTACCCTGCTCTTATTTTTAGTTTTAGTGTGTTCACTAAATTGTAATGTGTTGTTTCAAAAGATTTAATGAACAGTCGTCACCGAGGTACTGGGATTGCAATTTTAATACACATTTTTTGCATTTACTAAAGTGTCAAATTTATTCTTGATTAATATTTCTTTAAAAACCACTTGAATATTATATTTTTAAGCCTGTCTTTTCGAAACCAAAAATTATTTTTATTTTTTTGTTTTCTTTAACTTGTGTGATGCATCTCAATAAAGTTATTCATTAGAGAATGTATATTTTGACATCAGTTCATTGTTCTTTTTCAATATGTTGATTGTTATACAAAATCTGTTTCTAAGATAATTACAAACAGATTTGTATTACTTCCATACTTCACACATTTAGAGAAAATCTCACCTGTCGTGATTATGGTATTGTGGCATATCATGTTAGTTGTGGGAGGATAAAACAGAAATGTGTGGTTTTATTTTGTTTATGTGCTTGTATTATATAGAATCTTCTATGCTCAAATAATTGTTGCAATTGACATTCATCATCGTGCTACAGTGTTGTTATTTTAAGATACATTGTGCCATTTTAATAATTTATATGACATGGACATGAAAGAAACATAACGTACGCATAATATTCATAATCTATTTGTGAGAAATTACTGTACATTATCCGTATTGTGTTCATTTTGCTTCTTCTTTTTTCATTGTAAGAACTTTCTTATTTTTTTCTGAGGAAAAACTTGGGAAATACGAGTTTGTTACATGAAATTACCACTATATTTTTACATATCTAAGAACATAAATGTTCGCCAATCAGCAATTAATCTTCAAATAATTGTTATGAAATGATAACTTAATATTTTGCATCAGGGAGAGGTAGAATTTGATATATTTTATCTATTCTGGTTAATTTGTGTGGATTGTAATAGTTTTTGTGTTTATTAAGTATTATTGTAATCAGGTGTATTTTGTAATGAAGTATTGGACTTCGAAAATATAATATAGTGGCTGACAATAGAGATTTATTAGCAAAAATGAGCAATGCCACTTGAAGGGCAGCTGGTATTGTATTTCATCTCTCCTTTTGGCAGCGCACAGCAATATGGAATAGAGTATACCCCTTTTTTTAATCAGTTTTTCTCTCTCTGGATATAATTTTTTTTACCAAAGTGATGATACCTTTTGCAAGGATATCAGTTAGTGTGATTCATCGCTTTGTTATAAGCAATCACACTATTTGCCCCCTACTGGCAGTGCCAAGGTGGTGTTCTTTTTGCTGAGTCTGCATGTACCTGCTTCTTGGTACTTTACCAAGAAAGGGTGCATTCTACGTACATATGATATTGTTCTTTTCGTATATTTGTACAGTCAAGTTCATTACTGTGAATATTTGTATCGTAGAAACATAATCATACTTCTAATTTTAAGATAATTGTTTTTAACAATAAATATAGCATATCATGTTTCTATTTAGGTCCAAGTAAGCATATAATTTGTTACGTAATGTGAATGTCTTATAGAATGAGTGGTAAGTGTTATGATTTGTCTTATTTTAACTACCATATCATTCTTGTGATATGGGTTTTAAGTGTACTTAATTTATGTTCAGTAAAGAAGTTTTAACAATAAAACCTACAATTCTGAGGTTTGTCTTTACAAGACACCTTTAAAAGGTGCATTTGAAAATTGCTCTTTGTGATACATTATTTGCATCATATCTCAATGATAAATACTTTTCTCCCACTATATGGTCATCAGATTTTTATCATTCTTACAGTTCCTTTATTAAAATATGAATAAATAAATTTATTGCTACTGAAAAATGCATCTGGAACTGTTTAGGTGGATGGAAAATCTTCTTTTTATGTAGATGTAGGGATTTGAAATAATGGAACCTATCAGAGAACTTTGGCATGTAATGTCATGAAAAGAGAGTACCATATGTGTACTTTTTACATTTATTGATCACTTCAATTTTTTAATGTGCTGGCAGCATTTATGAGGCACGTCTTAAAAAATTATTGAAAGGCAATAGAATTGACATATTCATAAAGAGAGAAACACTACAAACAAAATAGAATTGCTCATTGTCATGTCATTCTGTAAATATATTTATATGTTGTGTATGTTGCTCTACTAGCTGAGTTGAGAGTCGATATATTATTTTTATGTATGAAGTTTTTTCCCAGGATACAAGTTTTACTGATGATGAATCTGGTATTGAACATTTGTTTTACAAATATCTATCAAGTAGCTTCTAGTTGTGTTGCATTTTTCTATTATGTCCCTGCAGTATTGTCAGTTTGTAATTGTGTAAGTACTGTTAATAATACTCAGTTTATTGACTTGTTCAAGTAACCTTTCAATATTCACTTCAAACATATCACATTTTGTTGGTATAAAGAGCAGGACATCTTTGACTCTCAATACAGTACAATGTTTCACCTCTGGATGGACTTCTAAGTATGGTTAGCAATACAATACGTTTCACATTAATTATATTCAGATTTTGAGTGTGTATTTTGGAAACCTAATTGATGCTTTAAATTTCTAATAGCAATCCTTTAATGATTTCTAATTAATAGTAAAGTTGCTCTATCACAAAATGGTGAATGGTTAAGCTCTAAAAACAACAGTCATTGAACAATCAAGTTATTTACTAATGATGTAATATTGCCTGTGCATATCTGGTGTTTTCTCACAGGTCACATCAGTTCTATAAAGTTCTAGTGTATTTTTATAAAAATAACAATCGCCAATCAGTGTTGTATTTCTTATTGGGAAAACAAACTCCAACATTTTGATGATGTAGAGCCTTTAAACATCTTTGCATTGCTAACCAATACATATCTGTTTATGTAAATTTCATGTTTTGTCATGTGTTGGACATGTTGAAAGAGTGAACATAATGTGAACACTGTACTGTGGTTAGCATATATGTATTGCGTATTATAAATTAATTTTGATTTTTCTTTTGTATTAATATAATGTTACATATCAGATTATTAATTTTTGATTTATTTTACTCTTACAAGTGAGGTTATTAATAGCTCTCCATATCATGTGAACATATTTTAATACATATTCTATAAAAATGTCATGTCATTAATTTCACTAAATATTTGAATAATGCGTATCATCATGTACAAAGTTGCTCTACATCAACCACTCAAAGTAGATTTTTACTATATGAATATATGGGTACCCAATTTCTTCTTTCTTTGAAGAAACAGAAGTATTTTCCATGATATTTTTAATTCATTCTGTTATGATTTTGCATTTTAATTCTTATTATATATTATACTTGTTGTTATATAAATTGTATATAGTTGTATAATATGTAAACATAAAATTAACACTAAATAAAGTAAGCAATATGTGACTTCTTTTAATATGCATTGTATATTTGACTTTTTTGAATGTGAATGTTTTAGAAATGGGCATAGTCTTAATAAAACGTGTTTTAATAAGTTCTGAACAATATATTTCAATAGGTGAAAAAAAGTAGAAATTATTAAGCAAATGCAGGTTCAAAAATGAATTATAAATGAATTAGAAACCCAAAGGCTGAAATGGCTTGTGATTTCCATTAGACGGAAGAAAAAGAGATAGACCCAGAGAGGAATGGTAGAATCAGGTTTTTAAAGATATGCAAAGAAGAGATCTACAACAGAGACTGGTATGTTAGAGGGGTATGGATATTGGGATGCGAGAGACTGCCGCAAGAGCTGTAAAGTACTTGCAAGAAGAAGCATTTCCCCCCCCTGCAATCTGTGTTAAAGTGTTAAGTGTAGTGGAAATTCAAGACGGACCCGCAGTTTATATACACCAAATTGCACATCTCCTAAAAAATAAATATTATGAGTTGCATAAAAATAAATATTTTTGTTGAAAAAAAAAATATTATGACACATTTTGCTCAATTCTATATTATGAATATTCTGAATAATTTCAAGTTTAATACTTGGGAGTTTTTGGATATACGGAGAAAGACGTGCCAGTTTGGATTCCAGTGGTCGGTCACCCATCCAATGTTGCTATGGGACTTACCAGATTGAGTGGAGCGAGTCTGGTCATAATGTCAGTGGGCCTTTTCTAAAACCACTCTTGATTCAGGCAATGGCACTCAAGCAATAACACACACGAGTAGCTCCCAAACTTCCTCAAATTGTACAGACAATATGTGCAGAGCAGAGTGATAAAGAAGATGAAAGTTACGTTTCACTTCAAGACTTCTATCTTGGTTACTGGTGTTCAGGTGTCATAAATATTTTCCTCTTTTTTAACATGTATTTTTCACTTTTTAAGCATTAAGAAAATTAACTTATTTTCGAAACTTCTAAAATAAGCTCTTAAGTCAATTTTAAACATATTTTGTCAAATAACTCCTTTTGAGATGGCTGAGCTGCTGAACTCCAGAAAAATGGTTCGAAAAAATACTTTCTAGGCAAAAATTTGCATTTCAGGAACATATCCACTCCAGAAACATGTAAATTATTTATTATTTACAAAAGGAATATTTGCTCACAAAGAGAAATGAACACAAATAAAAAATCAAATTACTTTTTTAAATTGCGTTACTTTTACTTAGTGAACAAAAAATCAATATGTTTTAAACCAGCTGAATGTGACATAACCGACGCTTATTTAACTATAAAGAGAGGAAGGCTGTAATTAAATTGTACGAGTGGTATGGTTCAAGTGAACGTGCGATGATAGCGAGTTTTCTTAGACACGGATGCAATATACCCGTTTATCCACACGTTACGTTCATTATCTTTTATTTTCCATTTAAAATTAATTTAATTTTCGAGAAATTCATGCACATCTTTACCTTTTGAGGCTTACATTTGATACATATGAAATATTTATGTAACAAATCCTCTAAATTAGTCCTTAAAGACTAATAGAGGACGTGTTACGTACAATGTTGTTTGTTATTCAAAATAAACATTTAACTCTTTCAGGAGTTAAGAATTGTCGTTACTCTCGATGTTCTGTAGCAAGGGTAGTTGGCACTGAATTCGGAACCGTTTTTAAATAACAATCGCAGTGCGTGGAAGAATCAAAACGACAAAGCTGGGTACAATATATAATAATAATAATAAAGTATATAGAATCCGGAGGCGTGCGAAAATCCTGCACTTCGTAAATAATAATTGTATAAAACTAATAATTGATTTAAAGTAGCCCCCAACTGCGAACGCCCATCCCCCGAAATATGTTTTATAGCGTTAAAGGGCCGAATACTGTACTAAAGAAGCCATTCCAATATTTCTGAGCGTCAAAATTAAAAGGTACAGAAAATAAAATAGTCCCTTTAATTTTACCGTGAAAGAAAATTTCGGTAATTTCCCTTCAATTTAACTTCGCATTGATTTCAGCTTCTGCGCTTTTCTGGCCGCCCATGGTGTGGAGTAATATTTACCCGTCCTCAAAGTAGTGTCCCTACTGGACCAGCAAACCTGACTTAAAAGGTCTAGGACGCATCACTTCCGAGTTATGTGCGATTATAATGTGTGCTGCTGTAATATCTTTTGAATGCCATAATCTGCAAACTTCTATTTTTATTTTACCGTATATGTACGTATACACGGAGTAATAAACGTAGTATAGGGAAAGTTATGTAATGCTACGGAAAATCGATTTCGAAATTTGAACGAAAATACACACCTTTTTGGTTTCCCTGATACCAAATAAGTGGATCTTTTCAAAACGTCCGCCCACCTGTAAACATCCCTAGCGCCTAAACTATAAAGGATATTTTTCAAATTGAAGAAAACCCTGTCTATCTCTCTCGAGTCGAAGCTTTGAGATGTTGAAAAACTTTCTTTAAAATTTGAGAGAAGTTTACATGAAGCACCCCGGACATTTTCAAAAAATTCCCCAAAACAGCTCCAAATTATTCTGTAAATTTCTTGCAAGAATAGAGTAAAATACACCTATAAATGTTGCTTAGGTCCGATTTTCACTATTAACTCTGAATTTTTTCGGCGACAGCACCGGGCAAACTAAATATAAGGTTCATAATAAATACATAGCAATGAAGAAATGGGAGGAATTTCAGTAGATACCTGGGTCCTATGTCACCGGAGGAAGTAAAGAAAGCAATATCACTCAAAAACAATAAAACGGCAGTCCAGACTACATTTATAATGAACACCTTACTAAATCAGTCACGATGCTATGCGAACTGTGGGCAAACATTTATAACAAATGCGTAGAATTTGGTGACATATTCTAAAAATGGAGAGAATCAACCATCAAGGTACTCTACTCGTACAAAGGGGAGTGTAGCGGGGATACCAATGCTTATAGAGGTATCGCGCTAGAATGTGCTCCATTCAAACTTCTATCCAAAATGATCACATTGAGAATTTCCGAAAACCTAAGACTCCAACTTACCAGACCAACAATTTGGCTTCCGCAGAAACCAACCAACTGCCACCACAATAAGTCTAATGAATGACATAGAGAACGTCGCGAAGAAAAAAAAAGGTACACAATTTGCCATTTCTCTCGATTTCTCGAAAAGCCTGTGACTACACCAACAGGCAATGGGGTACGTACCAACTCGGAGCAGTACTTGGCACACACAATGTATAAACAAGACATAAGCTCCATACTGAGATACGCGTAAATGCGCCTAACTATATTAGAAACAATTTTCCAAACAAATGGAGTGCTTCAGGATGATGTATTAAGTCCCCTACTATTCATCCTCGCGTCTACAAATCTGATCGACATAGGAAGTAACTATATACGCATATGCCGACAACGTAATGATATGCTAAGAGGAAATGAACACTTTACTTTAAGAAGCCATTGAAAAATGGAAAAATGGTGCAAAACCCGAAACGTCGAGATTAACACCAACAATACAAAATATATGATTTTCAGAAAGGAAGGAAAAGCCACACAAAACACATTTAAAATTGATGGTAGTAAAATAGAAGCAGTCCCTCATTTCAAATATTTAGGGATGACACCAGAAACAAGTAGCTTACCAAACACATTGCAGAGAAAAACTCTCAAGCAATGATCGCCATATATGAAATAAAATTTATTAGACTTTTGGACATGTACACAGCTATGAAGCTTTTTCAAGCAAAAGTCGTACCGATAATTACTTATGGTATGGATATCATCTGGGAAAAAACTCACAATAGGAAATGTATACGATCTGGATAAGTGAAAGCAACGTTTCTAAAACGAGCATTGAGCATATCTAAAAGAACAAGATCTAGTCTGGTATATGTACTTTCCCAAGAAGCGTTTTTGGTAGAGGATCTCAGACTACAATTCCTCCTGCCAAATACCAAGGCAGCGGAAACAATCCTACAAACGCTGAATAAGAAAAGATAACAAATATGGCCCGAGTTTTACACATCTGAATCAATGTGTAACAGAAACTCGATGTCGGCGAACTACGAGATGCGTCACTTGGTCTCGAGGTCCGCAGGCATGGTTTTCACCATCTGGTGTGTAAACTGAAGACTTTCCACGATCCAAAGGAAACCTGCGTGTGCGAACTCTACGGAAGCGCCTGCGATCGATACCACATCCAGCAGTGTAAAGAAAGACGGCTGTCAATCAACCAGTGTGTTAGGATGAACAGTATCTGTGCGACTTAGTGATGGTCTTTGACTGTGATATTTATGTTATTTTATTGTCTTATTCTCTGTAAAGAGATTACACACATGTGCGTTTTTTTTTCTTTCAGTATAATAAATAAAATAATATAGTAGTATGAGACAGTTAAAAAATATCAATTTTCTGCATTTTACAAAAATTCGAGGGTAACAGTAGAAACCAAACCTATGCCATCTTTGTAAATTAAATTGATTATTATTACAATAAAAAATGGAGTCATGGACATTTTGATATGTCTCGTGGACTTTTAGTGAAGTGCCCTCAAAATTTAAAGATTTTTTTTCAAAGTCGCAGGGCTGCAGGACTGTCCAGATCGATCGGGCAATATTCATTTGGCAAAATCCTACGAATAATGGCGTTGGTGTTGTTAACAGACGGACGGACATATGGACTTTTTGTGTGTGTGTGTGGGGGGAGTTGCTTTTTCGATATTAAGTAACAACAAAACGTGGATTTTGGCGACATTTGGTTAGTATTGGATGCTATGTGCCCTGTGTTAGTGCATATTTGTACGTATTTGACCCTTTTTTTTCTTTTGATGTATGTTCATGTAATTATTCGCACATAATTTATTAAAAGAGACTTTTCTGTAAAACCTTTTATCTTTTCATAAAATCTATTTATTTGGGAGCGTTTATTGATTAAAGAGCTTGTCACAGTATGCGTTTTTACCTTGAGATGTTAAAATACTAGTGCAAATGTAGGACATTTTTTGATTTCATATTTTTTAAACCAGGCAGAAGGTAGCAAGACCATACAAAGTACTTCTCTAAGGTGAATCTTTACTTCAATTACTTCTCTCGCAAAATAAGGTATATTATATAAAATGTTTTTATTTTTTAAAGGTAAAGTAAATTAAATTAATTTTCCTTCAAGATATTCCTCCCTGCATTTAAGCACATTCGCCAACGTTCGTATAATTATTGGAAACACTCCTGAAAATCATTTTTATGTAGCTCCATAAGCCGCCTGGTCGCATTTTCCGTCACCTCTTCCGAATTAGCGAATCGTTGCCCTTTAATTTTCATTTGTAGCCAGGGAACAGGTAGAGTAGAACCCCATCTTTCACTCATCTCGATCAGATTTTTGTCCTGTTTCCCTGATCCATTGTGCAAATGCTGAGATTTGCTCCCGTTTGCTCCTGGATGTAAATGTAGCTTCGCGATGGCACTTTTTGTTGAACTCTTCTTTTGCTTATAATGGTAAGAGTAGAGGTAAGGACAAGTTGCTTTTTGTTAGCAATGCAGAAAAATCATACTTGCAATTCGTGTACCGATGCAAATGTTTACTATAACTCGGAAACGAATATAACTATTTTTCAAATATTGCTAATCTAGCGATTTTTAAAATTTATTTTTATTTATTTATGTTAAAATTTTACTCATCTTTCAACCATTTATAATTAAAATGACGGGAAGGGATTCTGGAACTTAAGAAAACGTGCGCAGATAATCTTTTCCCCCCTACATCATATAGGTGTTTTTTTTGTTTGTTTGTTGTTGTTGTTTTATGATTTTTTTTTTTTACTGAATAAATCTAAATCACTTCCCATTTTTCTGGATGATTGCATCTCGTAGGCGGCGAAGAATTTCCATGTAGAGGGTGTTTGTTGACAGTTTGACCACCTGGAATGAACATTTCGTCAATGGTCATTCTTCTGTTCGCACGGATGATACCGACAAACATGCTCGAAGTTTTCGTTTATGACGGGAAGTGGACGGGCGACCGCTGAGCGGGTTATCTTCAGCACTAGCGCGACCTTCACGGAAACGCTTATGCAACTCACACACTTGCGACTTCTCATCGTATCTCTCCCGAAGGCTATCGTCAACATCTCTAGAGCAGGGCCTAAGCTCTTTAACAGTATTGGAGGCTCTTGGGCCAGTCTATTCTTATTTTCACCGATCTCCCCTCCCCCCCCGCCCATTTTGAAACTGAAATATAAAGAAAATTCTATCAATTCACATTTGAATTTTGTATATTTTTTAAAATATATTTTGAAAGTATTTTTTAGTGTTTCAATTAAACATTATTCAACAAAAAAATTTAAACATACATGTGTAAGTAAGTAAAATAACATATTTGAAATTAGGGCATACATTGAAAAAGACTACAAATTAAATAGTTTTATATTTTATTGAATTGTGCATTAAAATTGAAACGCATCAACCAGCAACATTACATATTATAAATATTATCCAATGATGCGTAAGATATCACTCCGTAATGCCACTTTTTTGCATAGTTTATTCATATGTAACTTTTTTAAACCCCCCCCCCCCCCATTTTTTCAGATGGTGGTTTGTTTAACAGATTACAAAATATTATGTTCTCAGGCTGCTCGATCGATTGCCGTCATTTTAAAATGCGACGAACCCAAAAACTGTCGCAAAGTTACATGCGCGGCACAGCTCACCGATCAGTCGACACACGCATTCGGGCAGCTCAGCGGTTTCACAGGTGTGTCTTCAACGTCAACAATTGGAATCACTGAAGCTTGTTTGGCAACGCTGGAGGCATCAATTTCGGGAATCTCTTTGACTCGCCTTCGTTCATCTTTTCATCTCAAGCACGCTTCTAAATTTTATAAAGAAAGTTTTATACAGGAAATAAAATATGAATGGGTGAAAACCAGATCGGTATAAGTGACATTTTATAAATTCTGAGAAAACTGTTTATTCATTCATTCAAGTCATTCTACTGTAAAGTTGCCGTTTTTTCATCGTCGTTTCATCATTAATACCACGTCATTTCAATTGTTCTTTAAAACCATAAAATACATTGCCACTGAAATATAGCTTAAAATAAACACTTTTTCTTAGAATTTATAAAATGTCACTTACACCGTTCTGGTTTTCACCCATTCATATTGTTAATTTTTATTGCATACTAGCGAACCTGGCAATGCTTCGCTATTGCAATGTTTCACACTTCACATGCTAGTGGTCACGTGATTGTTAATCACGTCTTTCGCTATGCTCTGCATATTTTAAGATATTTTTAAGCCATAATAATTATCTCCTTAATGATAAAAACGAAAATAGCTTTATTATGAATTACATCTTCGAATGTTTATGGCAACCTGTGCTGCGAAATGGGGGAATACTCTTTAATACAATTGAATGTACTATTTTATTGAACGTAGAGACATTGTAAGATCAACGTTAAGTACATACAGCCGCCTTACTTTATCTCTTTCCCATCCATGTCGCCGTCCAACAATGAAATTCTCGGAATAATTCCTCAAACTGCAATATCGCAGCATTGTTGGAAAATGCAGCGTACTGAGGCAATATCATATCCTAATAAAAGCTCGTACAAAATATCGTACACAATTCTTAAAATGTTTCTTTCATATTATTTAAATATAATTTTTTAAGGGGAAAATTAATTGGGCTAATTTCAATTAAGGATTGGTTGAAAAAAATACATCAATTCATTGATAATACAAATTGTAGAAAAGAGTAAAAATCGACTGAATATCGATATTTTCAATTGTAAATTATAATTAAAATAACATTAATTATTTTTTCATATTCGAAAAATTGTAAATGAACTAATTTAAAAATCTGTCTATGTAGAATCATTTTTCAGGGGTGAAAATCTGTCTTTAAAGAATAGATTTTTTAGGAAAAATCTCTATCTTCAATATTCGAAATGTAAGAAGTTGCTGAAAACAAATTGAATTTTTTCAATATTCGCGAAAACAGGGATTTCAACGAAAATGAGACCTGCACCAGTCTCTTAAGCATCCCCAACGCTATCCAACAGCAAAATTTAATCAAAAAACTTGGACCAATTTTTTAAAAATATCCCAGAGACTTTATGTAAAATACACTGCCCCCCCCCCCTCCATCAAATTTAGTTATCGGTTTCATATTCAATTCCGCGCCATCAGCCTGTTGAATTGAGGAATATCAATTTTGAAGAAAATCGGCCGAACATTTTAGACGTTATCGTTGACCACAGCCGGGCAACGGCGACAGCCAGCCACACAGCCAGCCAGACGGAGACAGCCTGACCAGGCCCGGCGGATAATGTGGGTATGGTGGGTAGTCATACCCACACGAAAAATTCAGAGTGGGTAAATTACCCACTCAGGATTTGGAGCAACGGCGGATCCAGTAGATGATTGGGAGGGGGGGGGGTCCGCAGAGGTTTGTTAAATAATAACAATATTTGTTATTATATTGTATATTATTTATATACTGTAGGTATGATATTATACAATGCTATTGTTTAAATAATTACATAATTTAACATAAATAAATATTTAAATCAATTTTGCCACATTGAGAACAAAAACGGAAACTCATGGCCCCCATGGCACCCTCCTGTGATTTGGAGTGAGAGAAATATTCTATAAACGCCAAATTCCAGAAATTAATTTCCTTTCAAATCCTTTCTCGGTATTGGGTCGACTCAAGACGTATATGCAATCAACTATGTTGTAAGTTCGGCTCAACAGAATTGCGATTTTACTAGTTTATAGCAACATGACTGACAAAATCGATGTATAAACATTGTTAAATTAGCTTGTATCAAAAAACGCATAGGGCGGCGCTATTTTCGCATTGCATAAATGAATTCTGTTAAAGTTACGTAAAATAAATGTGATGACAATTTAATTATAAAATTGACAATTTGAAAAAAAATCTGTTTGTACTTTCCCCTTTATATAGATTTTCGGTGGGTGATGGAGGGTGAGGGGGAAACGTGGGAGTATTCTCACAGGGGTCACAGCCCCACTCGGATTTCACACCAACCGCCGGCCCTGAGCCTGGCAGACACTAACTAAAAACACTAGCACTTACCGTACACAGGATTTCCGGCAACGTTAATACTATTTCTGAATAGATTTAGCTGCTGTCGCTGACCCTCAAATTTGGAACGGATTTTTTATTTTATGGGGCTTCTTTATATGAAGCCACAAAAATATCAGTTCGGATTCATTATTTTTTCTTTAAAAAACTGCATTGTACTTATTAATACATATAGCTTTTTTTAACGAAGTTTATACAAGAGACGGTAGTATCGAGCCTCCCTTCTTAGGGAGTTTCAGATCTCCCTTTATGACAGTGACCTCCAGTTTATTAAGCTGTGCTGAAGTACTTGCTCATGTTGAAATGTCGAAGGCGAGATTCAGAGAACCACTGTTAACAATGCTAAGGACGGACAATTTTCGAATTTACCAAATCTGGTTTTGTTAAATTCTTTTGTGCCACACCCTACACGAATCAGCTAAGAGGAGTGAGTAATATACATTGGAGTTCAACGAAAGTGGGCCATAGTCGTATTGACCAATCTACAAAGAAATAGAAACCGACCCCTTCACCGAGATACCGAAAGTTACTGTTACAACTGCGCAAGACTTGAGTCGTAGTCATCGTTTGAAGGTGATGGACTCTCATGGTTATAACTGCAATAGGACAATTCAAAGGAGAGCATAATGGAAAAGAATGCGTTTTACGAAATTAATTTAATCACGAAACATTGGAAGAACGATGTTCAGTTGTACGCGCGTAAATCAAATGGACTCACAAGATTTCAGTTTCATTATTTTTCACTACCTTACTGTACGTTCATTCAAAAAAAATGTCAAAGTCACAATATTGTAAATTTTATTGGGGAGATAAAACTTTTTAAATTGGTTGTCAATCTTCTTCAGTTGTCTGAAATGTTCTTAAATGGGATGAGCGGCAAGGCTTAAAGGGGTCATTGCTTTCACGAGGAAAATGATCGATAAACGCTCCTCAGAAAGTACTTAATAAATTGTCTCCCTATCAAAATTGTCGCGTTAATGCTGTAAAACCTGTTTAGAACTGTAATGAAATATGATACATGTATGTCAGAATGCCGAAGCTGTCTAACCTGCCTATATAACTCAAGTCGGAGTGGGAGGTGAAGTGGGGAGACATCGGAAAAGCGAGGACAGTGGGCAGGCCAGACATCGCGCTGGTGCTGGTTACGGATGGCCGGTGGGGACAAGTGGGCTTAACCGGGGTTTAAGGATGAATCACAATCGGGTGAAGATTGGCAGGAGGGTAGGACAGTAACGTTCGATGCTAGAATATATTACTGATCGAAATCATTAACGTAAGAGTTCTGGTTCGAACTGACGCGATATTTTCATTGCTACAGAAAGTATACTCTTGGCTACGAAACCCGACTTGAATATAGGCGATAAACGTATGTTATGTATTGACTATTTTTATAGTGGCATGTGCGAAATTGTGCCGAATTGGGAATGTAATGTTCCGATATGTGCTTGTGATGGGAACATTACTATATTATGGTGCAACTTCAGTGAAATTGAATGAAATGCTGATTTAATTGCATTGTTAATGCTCAAATTAACCGTACATCTCAATACAATTGTACTTTTGCATGCAATTTTACTAATTTCTGCTTAACAAATTTCAGCTCCTTATAGTGTTAATCACCATAATAATAATAATAAGTGATATGTTCATACTGCTTTTGATATAACACAAATCATTTACCATTCCTGCCCACAACATTATGTTAATCTGTCTGTACTTTATTCTGTAGTTCAGTACATTATTGAATTTTGAGTGAATTATGGCAAGTTTTGCTGCACAAGCAGCACTTAGATCAAAATGGTCAAATTTGGTTGAATCGTCTTCATTTGAGGTTCCTGGAGAAGTTTCTTCTGGAGTGAGAAGTGTTGTAGGATGGCTGAAACAGGTTAACATTAATTGTGTAAAATTGTTTTTTGTTCAATGTTTTAGTTAAACCTTCCTAACATAGACCTTCTTTAAGACAATGCATGGCATTAAGCATGGTTTTAATTTTTTGCTTTTTAAATGTAGGTATTATTATCAAAGTAAATCAGAAAGTAAACTATTGTGAATTAATTAGTAATATTTACATTACAAAGCTAGTGGAAATATATTGTAGCATGGGCATGTGATTAAATTAGATAAATAATGTTTAATTTTTCTGCTAGCTGCTAATATTATTAGTGCTTGAAATGTAGTTTTGAATATTAGACATATGTTTCATGAACAATATTTATTACTCCTACATCAGATAAAAATCCCCTTCAATATTGCTGTAGAAGAATAGCAAATGTAGAAGATTAATAATATTTCTGGTGAATGTGCATTCTGGTGTATTTCTTGATACTCTAATCAAATTTAGAGGAACATGTTTGAATCAGAATATATAAATGTTAATTTTGATATATGCATACCCTACAATGGTGAATCAAGGGGACACAAGCCCTAAAAAGTTACATATGGATTTTAACCTATCTGAAGGAATATTCCCATATTTTTTCTCCAAGCATTGAAACATATTTGTAGGGTAAGGGAGTCCACATTGAAATGTAGCCCCCATGAATTTCTTTCTGGATCTGCATCTGAAATAGTAATTTATGGTACAAGAGAGTAAAATAGGGTTTTATTCTAAAGTGAAAAAATGTAGCATAGAGGGCAATGGTGGAAGGTAGATGACTAATTTTCAAGGATATATGAGGATATAATATATAGGATACAAGAATATAATCTATTTATACCCCAAATGTCATTTTTATCCATCATCACTTGGTAAGCACAGGTACAGTCAAAATGTCTGAATATACTGTTATTGCCCAGGACATGTATAAATAAACAGACTAATTTTTATATTTCATATGTATTAGAGGTGGAATAAAATTCACAGGGGGAGGGGGGAGTAATGGAATTAAATAAGGAGTTAAGGAATATTAAGAAAGAAATTATTATAGAGTTAAAAGTTATTATTTATGGAGTCAATTAAATAATTGATAGGTTACATACTAGTGATATTGAATAGTTATTTAAATTAGTATTTTTTTTATTCATATGTATTTGGCATCCTTTGTAGTATTATATATTCAGATGTGTAGTTGTTGCACTTTTGTAAAAAAATTATTTCATCAGCACATGTTATGTTCTGTGTCAATTGTTACTTAGAGAAATATTTTATTAAGAATACAAGTGAAGGTGCAATTAAACATGTTTGTCCATTTTTATTGTAGGCATCACTTGAAGTGCGACAAGCAGGTCGGCGTACACTGAGTTCCTTATCAGGAGGAGCCATGGGTAGCAACGTCATTACTATTTTACATTTCAATGATGTATATAATGTAGAATCACGAGCAACAGAACCTGTTGGTGGAGCTGCTCGTTTCTGCACCGCTTTTAAATCATTTTCTCATCTGAATCCTTTAATTCTATTTAGTGGTGATGTTTTCTCACCTAGTATGTGTAAGTATTATTGCCTTTGTAATTAAGTGAACTTTTTGTGTGGATTTGCTGTATGTTTTATTTTGTACTACTTTTTGTTGCAGTAAGTACATTTACAAAGGGAGAACAGATGATTCCAGTACTGAATGAGCTGGGAACTCACTGTGCTGTGTTTGGAAATCATGATTTTGGTATGTTAAAATTGGAATTTTTTTAGTTTAAGGCACGTTTTATTATTTTGTGGTTGTGTTTTCTTTTAAGTTATTCAACTTATGTCTGATAGATAAAGCTTTTATTTCAAACTCTTTTCAATTGATACCGTCATTAATGAATGTCATGGGAAATCATTGATGCAAATCATCCTATTGGTTTATGATGAACTGACTGGCCTGTGTATTGTAGGTTCTGTTAAACAGTAAAATTAAGTTATTTGTTTTTCAGATTTTGGATTAGAAAAGTTAAGTGAATTAACTGCACAAACTAACTTTCCATGGCTTATGTCTAATGTAATTGATCAAGAAACTGGAAGACCTCTTGGTGATGGTCGTATTACACATGTTGTTGACTGGAATGGGAAGAGATTGGGTTTGGTATGAATTAATACTGATCAAACAAACAGATTGCAAGTCAATAAGAGAATTTGATGATTAAACTCTTTATTTCTTGTGTTATAGATAGGGTTGGTGGAACAGGAATGGCTTGATACACTTTCTAATATAAATCCTGAAGAAGTTACATTCCTTGATTTTGTAGAAGCTGGAAGGAAACTAGGGGCTCAACTGAAGCAAGAGGTTTGCAAATAAATATGTCCATTATTTTGCCTTTCAATAGCTTATTAAGATCTAGTGAGAGCGTAGGCTTCCGCGGCCGGAGTCAGTATTTACTAGGCTGTCCGGGTGACGCCGCAGAATGGCGACCGAAACGTCGGCACCTTCGCCATGGACGCGGCGTCAAGATCTATCTTTAAGTGAAAGGCATTATTGTAAGCTGCAAGAACTACATTGAAAATAATGTAGTTTCAATTGATTCTTATTGTTTCCCATAGTTTTTAGTAATTTATTCCACTTTAATCAGACAATTGCCCAATACATTAAATATAATACATAATGTGTAATACATGAGTTCATGCTCATTTAATAGTTTTCTTTTTACTGTTAGGAATAAATTACTTTTTGAAGTTAAAAGATCAATGTTATAATTAATATTTGCAAGTATAGTCATGCGATTCGCTGGACTATAGAAATATACATTAGTTCGAGCTACTGGATAAAAGAATGTGGACTCATCAACTCTTCTCAGATCTCGGGGAAGTTTACAATTTAATTTTGAAAGAATATATCTGTCAATGATGCTGTTTATAAGATCATATAGAAATAAGTAGTCAAGATAATTTCAGTGTGATTGTAATAAAATCACATTTAAAGTAGAGGATTTTGTTCATAAGTATGATTCTCTCATTGAAGAAAGTCCTAGTGTCCAATTTACACAATTTAAAAATCTAAAATTATCTATGCACATTCTAATTTTTTTATGTTGGTGGCATACTAATATTTTTATTTGTATCTGGATTTTAATTTCTGTCAGCTAGTTGTTTGACTAGCTTTTAATAATCACTCGATTACAAGTATAATACTTACTTGTTTTAATTTCGGTATACAATGAATTCAGTGCCCTCGTCAATATAAGAGTCATTCTTCTACATTTGTCTGCCAAGGTTAATATCATTGGGTGATCGCATTATCGGTTAATGCTATTACATAATCCACAACCCTATTAAATAATTATTTGATTAATCCACGAGCAGCTATGAAAAACATATTTTGTATTGAATACTATTAAATAATAAGTTCTTCTGTTGATAAGTAGTCACCATTGCACAGCATTATATGTTGAAAATGGATTTCGAAAAACTAGCCAAAACGCTTTACTCTGAATTACTGTATTGTGCCAAACTAAAGACAACAACTTAAGTGACAGAATTAAATCCCAGATTACAAGA